TATAATAAAGGATATAAATGAAAGGCTAGATGAAGAGATATGAAGAGATATGTAGGGCGAGGTCCAGAAGAGTCCAGAGCACAGTAGCCTCTGTTCCTGTGGAGATGGGATGTGACATCCTCTGGCACGTGGATGTATTCACCAAAGAGGAAAGTCCTTGAAAGTTCCTCAAAGCTTTTGTAACCTGTTCTCCAGGCCCCTTCTTCTACCTGGAAGTCTGGGGTGGGGGTGCGGTTGGATAGGTGGGAGTTTGGTTTTTCTGGGATCAGTTCCTATCCTGAAACTATCTAGGGGGCCATCCTGAGTCACTCATTAGCATAAACTCAAGTACGCTTAAAAGGGGCTCTTTATGAAAAATAAAAGATACTTCTATCACTTGGGAAATTCTGAGGAACTGGACAAAGACCAAAAATACTTTCTAAAAAAATGTTTATTTTTTTTTAGAGAGAGAGAGTGGGGAAGGGCCAGAGAGGGAGAAGGGCAGAGGGGGGCCAGAGAGGAGGAGGGGTAGAGAGAGGGGACAGAGGATCTGAAAAATGTTTAGAAATTTTATTTTAGAATCTGAAACAGGCTCCAGGCTCTGAGCTGGCAGTCAGGACAGAGCCCGATGCGGGGCTCGAACCCACGAACTTGAGCTGAAGTCGAGCTGAAGTCAGATGCTTAACCGACTGAGCCTCCCAGGCGCCCTGAAATATTTATTTATTTTTGAGAGAGACCATGGGGAGGGGCAGAGAGAGAGGGTTGAGGCAGAGTGGGGGGAGGGGCAGAGAGAGGGAAACAGGATCTGAAGCAGTCTCTGTGCTGACAGCTCAATGTAGGGCTCAAACTCAGCGGTAAGATCCTGACCTGAGCCAAAGTCAGATGCTTAACCGCTGAGCCATCCAGGTGCCCCAAGAACAAATATACTTTTTTATTCCACCACAGACCCTTGCCTCCCCTGCCAGTTGTGAGGTCCTAAGTGGGCAAGAGTCACCTCAGCCCTTCCTTTGACCTGCAAATCCCTGCTGCACTGACCCAGCTCCTCCCCTTACCTGACTTCCCGTTAGTTTCAAGGGTCTGGGGCTAGGATTAAGGACCAGCCACCCGTCACAAGGATGTTTTTCCATGAAACCGAGGACCCCCATCCCCTCCCGACCTCCGCCCCCTCCCGAGTGGCTGGTGAAACAACATTTGAGGCTAGCTTTGGGAGCTTTGCTGGAAAGTGGCGGTGCGGTGATGGGCTTGAGGGGAGGGCGGAGCAGACTGGCGCCTGGGAGCTTGGAGGGGAGGGACCTTGCTGGGGTGATTCTGCACAATCAGCAGGGGTGAGACAGAGCTTCCAGGGTGGTCAGGCCCTGCTCAGGGCTATATAAGTCCGGGGTATCTAGGCTTCGCTTCCCACCCCTAGTGGCCCACTGGACAGCCCGTTGGATTCCGCAGCAGAGGGGAGCATTGGAAGATAAAGGAAAAAGATATGAATTTTGACAAGGTCCACTTTTACACAGACAACCAGAGTGTCTCCCTGCAGCCCCAAGGTGAGAAAACTGAGGCATGAGCCTATCCTCATTAGGGACTGGCTTACTTGTCTCCCAGCTCCCTGGCAGGCCAGAGCTTGGCTCATCGCTGTCTCAGCCTCGGGAATAAACAGGCAAGGGCTGAACGTGGATTAGGTGAGAACAGAGAGCCTGGCGCACACCCACACCCTAGTGAACCTCCCCAGACCCTTTTGCTTGGGGATGGCAACCTGTCAGGAGAAAGAGTAAGCTTTGAATTAAGAGGGTCCTGTTTTTTTTTTTTTAATTTTTAATGTTTATTTATTTTTGAGAGAGGGACAGAGTGTGAGCAGGGGAGGGGCAGAGAGAGAGGGAGACACAGAATCCAAAACAGGCTCCAGGCTCCAAGCTGTCTGTCAGAACAGACCCTGACGTGGGGCTCGAACCTACAAGCTGTGAGATCATGACCTGAGCCGAAGTCAGACGCTTAACCGACTAAGCCACCCAGGTGCCCCCAGAGGGACCTGGTTTCAAGTCCCCTCTCTGCATGCTGGGCTGGCCCTGCAAGACCTCAGGGGCTCCAGGCTGATGTTTCTTCCCCTTAGAATGGATTTCTCTGTACACTATTTATCCCTAAGCATACCTGCACTCTCCTAGGACCTCCATGCAGGGCTTTATGACACTGCAGAGGGAGGCCCCAGCACTGACCTATGATTGTGGGAGAGGCTGTGGTCCCAAAGGGCTGAGTTCATGAGCAAGCCTAGCCCTGGGACTCAGGTCAGGTTCCTGCTCTGTCCCTCCCTGTCTCCCTCCTTTCTTCTTTCACGTGCACTGCACGTTCTACGGGTTCTGTGTCCTGTGTGTCTCCTCTAGGTTCTGGGCTGTGGTCTTCTCTTTACCTTTGTGTTGCTACCACACCCCCAGTTAGGTCTAGTGATTGCATCCAAGTGCTTTATTTCCCACCCCCATGATAAGTGTGGCCAGTGTTCTCATTCTCATCAGACAGTTCAAGAGACTGCGACCATGGGCGAATCCCGCCTAGTCCACACAACACATTCTCCTGTACACTGGCTTCTCCTTTGCAGGGCTGGACTCTGCTGCAGGGGCCCCTCCAGCCCCCAGGAGGCCAAGACTTTTTCCAACCACCCTGGTAGTTATGGCTGTGACTGTTGCCTCCTTGCTGGTGGTTCTTTTTGTTATGGGTAAGTTTGTAGGGGACCTGAACCCTCACCGACTCTCTCCATCTTCCTGCATAAAAGTCCCACAGGGACCAGATGCATGCCCTCTGCTCCCAGAAGAGTCAGTCTGCCTCTGGCCCCAGGCCTGACCCAGATCTTTCCCAGGACTCAACTAAGGTCTCTGTCCAAGAGGAGCCTCCCGAGAGCTGAGGCCCATGGAGGAAAGTCTGAGAGATCCTCAGTGCCATCTTCCTCCTTCTGGAACCCCCGGGGGTTGGGCAGCCTGTTCTCCCAGACCTAGTGCAGAGAGACTGTACTGACCCAGGAATGGGCATCTCAGTTCTACAGAAGCCAAGACCTCCATCAGAGTCTCTAGCCATGACTGCTGAAGAGGACAACACAACTCGGCAGTTACCTGGAGAGGACAACACAACTCGGCAGTTACCTGTGGAACCCTACGGCGAGTAGCCAGGGCAGGGCGGGTGGGGTGGGGGAGCTGGGGCATTCAGATACCCAGACTCTAAGAGGAGCCTCTCCTCTGACACCCCCAGACCCCCGAATGGGTTCCATACTTCTCACAGAAAGACATGATCTTTTTTAAAAAAAAACAACTTTATTGAGGTGTAATTGACAGATAATAGATTACAATATTGAAAGTATACAATCAGATAAGTTTTGATTTACGGGTATGCCCATGAAACCATCACCACAACCATCAAGATAATAAACATATTCCTCCTCTTCCTCCCAGGGTTTACTTGTGCCCTTTGTCATCTTTCCCTCTCCCCTCCTCCCTTCATCCCCAGGCAATCACTGATCTACTTGCACTAATACAGATTAATTGGCCTTTTTAAGTTTTATGTAAAACAGATCATATAGTGTACCCTTTTTGGTCCTTTATCAGTCATGTAATTTACAAATATTTTCTCTCAGCTTGTGGCCTGTCTTTTTGTTCTCTTAACCAGATTTAAATTTTAATAAAGTCTAATTTATCTTTTTTTTTCTTTTATGGACTGTACTTTTGGTTTCACGTTAGAAACCTATCCCAAGGTCACAAAGACATTTTCCTTTGTTTCCTTCTGGAAATTTTATACTTGTTGGCTTTACATTTAGGTCTATGATCAATTTTGAGTTGAGTTTTATATAATGTTGTGAAGGACGAAGTTAATTTTTATTTTTCATGTGGATAGACAATTGTTGCCACACTGTTGAAAAGATTGTCATGTCTTTGTTGAAAATCAATTATCCCTATATATGTGGGTTTATTTCTGGATTCTCTGTTCTGTTCCATCGATGTATTTGTGTATCTTTACAAGGCACCTGCAAAGGCCACCTGGCCTCACCTGGCCTTAACTCAGCATAGTGGCTGAGGCCTCATATGCTTACCTCAATAGGGCATGAGGCATAGGGCAGGGATCTTCCAACAAGGGTCCCTGCCTACTTGGGTTCTTCTTCCTATTCCTGAGAGAAGGCTGGAATCAAGAGTCTTGGACCATGAAAGTCTGAGATAAGGTCTTAGCTTGTGAGGTGAACGAAAGGTTCACCAGAGGCAGCTGCAAATGGGTCTGGTGGGAGAGACCATGCAGATGAAAGGGGCTGTGAGTTCCCTGAACGACCCCACTGATCAGGGTTCTCACTCAGGTCTCAACTTCTTCTGTTGGGACTATTGCTCAATGTAATACTCAGTGTGCCAGCCCTTTAAAAAGGTTCTAGGGTCTAGTATCACCTGGAGGATCTCCACAATGGCCCTGGAGCTTGAACAGTGCTTCCTCCCACAGGTACATGTGTTGTTTAGTTTCTGGAATTTGTGGTCAGAAAACTGTTTGTGTTCTACACAGTTTTTAGGAAGAACCAATGATGAATCAAGAGGCACTGTGCTTGGTGTGCAAATATAGTAGGAAACTAAACATGGGCTTTACTCATACCTATTTTCTTTTTCATAATGACCCATCTAATGGTGAAATTTTAGTGTAGCTAAGCTTCAGCAGCTCTAAATGATATAATCAGTTACTTTCAAGTTCAATTACAATGGCAAAATAATCCAAGCTTGACCAGCATGACTCTTATGGGTAGCCAGTGTACAGTAGGCAAATATTTTAATCCTCTGCCCCTAATTAAATTAGGCCTTTAATTTTTGGCTCACCATCTCAGCTTGCCCATCTCCAGGGTCTGGGTGGCTGCAGTGAGCAAGAGACAGCCTGAGGAGCACTCGGGGCTGTGCCTTAGACATTTCCCTCAGAAATGTCAAGAATACTATGGTTGGCCCATATAATTAATTGTTCCCTTCGCAATAGGCCTCTGTGACTACCTTCTCCCTTTCTTCCCTCCAGATTCCCCTCACTCTGGCAAGGTGGCAGAGTGGCAAGAGACTATCCAGATGTTTAAAGGCCATGTGGAAAATTCCAGCACTTGGAGCATGGAGATGCAGACGTTGACTTGTAGAATGGACAATGTCAGTTCTCAGATCCAGGTGCTCCGTGGTCATCTGGAAAATGCCAATGCTGACATCCAGATGGTAAAAGGCGTTCTACAGGATGCCAATACCTTGAGTTTCCAGACCCAAATGTTAAGGAGTTCCATGGAAGGTGCCAGTGCTGAGATCCGGAAGCTGAAAGGAGATCTGGAAAAGGCAAATGCTTTAAATTCCCAGACCCACAGTTTCTTAAGAAACAGTTTAGAAAATGCCAGCAGTGATCTCCACATGTTGAATGGAGGCTTAGAAAATGCCAACACTGAAATTCAGATACTGAAGGCAGGGTTGGAAATGGCAAACACCCAGGCCCAGTTGGCAAACAGTAGCTTAAAGAATGCTAATGCTCAGATCCATGTTTTGAGAGGCCAACTGGATAGTGTCCATGATTTAAGGGCCCAGAATCAGGTTTTAAGAAGCAATTTGGAAGGAGCCAATGCTGAGATCCAGAGGGTAAAGGGAAGCCTGCAAAATATAAATGCTTTAAACTCCCAGACCCAGACTTTTCTGAAAGGCCATTTAGACAACACCAGCGCTGAGATCCAGTTATTAAGAGGCCATTTCAAAAGGGCTGGTGATGAGATTAATTTGTTAAAAAGAGATTTAGAAACTGTCACTGCCCAGACCCAAGAAGCAAGCCACCATCTGGAGCAGGCAGATGCTCAGATCCAGTTATTAAAAACAAAGCTAGAAAATGTCAATGCCTTAGATTCCAAGATTCAGGTGTTAAATGGTTATTTGAAAAATGCCAGCAGGGAGATACAGACCCTAAAACAAGGAATGAAGGCTGCTGCAGCAGCCTTAGATTCCAAGAGCCAAGTGTTAGAGAGCAATCTGCAGAAGGCCAGTGCTGAGATCCAGAGGTTAAAAGGGGATCTACAGAACACCAAAACACTAACTACAAGAATCCAGGAGGAGCAGAGTCACCTGGAGACACTCTGTGTGGCCTTTGGCTCCCAGGAGCAGCTACAGAAGACACAAAGTAAGTGGGAGGGGAGGGCTTGGCCGGGAGGTATAGTCTCTTGGGTGGCCAGAGTTTTCTGTCCCTTCAGTCTTTTGCTTACTTCAGCATGCATCCCCTTAGGAAGGAGGCTGGGTGCTGGAGAAGGGCTGAATCCTAGGCAGTGGTAGAGATGGCATAAGGCAGCTGACTCTGCTCTCAAGTTGTTTGTCATCTGGTCAGAGTGACAAAACAACACTTGAGGATAAATAATGTGTGGAAGACATGCAGAGATGTGCAAGAGGTGTTAGGTAAGGGGCAGCTCTAGGAAATGGGGTGGAGAGGAGCAAAGAGGAGAGAGAAGGGATCTTCTGAGGTTGATGTCCTCTGACATAGAAAAGGGATCTTCTGCAGGGGGAACATTTTTTGGGAGAAAAAGGATCAAAAGATGTTTTGTGGAGAAGATGGCCCTTGAACTGAACCCTGAAGGACTAGTAGGTGTTTGCCAAACAAGTAGGGTAAGAGGGTGGCAGGTTCATAGTCATGAACGTGTGAAACCATGAGGCTCAGAAAACTTCAGGAAGTTCTGTGACTGGACTGTGGCCAAGAGGGCAGTTGATGAAGTTGATGAGACGTTAGTAGGCAGGGGCCAGGACGGTGGCTTTCAAAGCATTTTGAATATAAGCACAGCCTCTATTCTAGCATGCACATGGTTTTCAATGACTACATCTTCAACACCCTTTTTACATCTGTCTTGTTTACTAAGTTCATTGAGGACATGAATCATGTCTTACTGGTCTTTGTATAATAGTCCCTGATTCACAGTTAAAAAGCATTGAACCATTGATGTTGAATAAGAGAATAAATGAATGAATAAGTGATTCTGTTATGGCCCCATTTCAAATAGCTGTGGTACAGATGATGTTAGAAAGCAGAGTGTTATCGTGGGGAGGGATGAAAGAGCTGAGAACACAAGATGCTTGTGTTCATGGGATGAGCCATTAGAGCTTGAAATTTGGAGGTCAGGTAGAGCAGTCCCAAGTATGGTCCTGGGTGTGGGCAGCTGAAGTGGATGGAGATGAAGTCAAGGAAAAGCTGACACTATGGGATGGCTGTAAAGTCTTCTAGGGAGATGGCAGGAGCTGAGGTGCAGAAGACTGTCAGGTGATAGTGCTGGGGAAAGAACGTAGTGGAGCCAGAAAGCAAGAGACTGGAAAGAAAGTGTTGCCCAGGTAGCAAAGCTATCTGCAAATCTCTGGGGAGATGGAGCCAGGTGTCTTGAGCTGCTTTCTGTTGTATTGGGTATCAGGCTGGGGGTGCAGCCTCTGAGGTCTTGCCCCGGAGCACTGGGCATCAAGCACTGCGTGGGCTTGTGACTCTTGGTGGCCAGTCCCTGGAGAGGCCAGGAAGGGCAGCTCCCAGGCATCCCTAGCCAGCCGCTGGTTCTCTTTCTTCCCCAACCTTTGCTCCAGATCAACTTCTTCAGCTGATCCTGCAAGGCTGGAATGCCTACAGCGGGAGCTTGTATTACTTTTCTCACGTCAAGAAGTCTTGGCATGAGGCTGAGCAGTTCTGTGTGTCCCAGGGAGCCCACCTGGCCTCGGTGACTTCTGAGGAGGAGCAGGTCAGAGCTGCTGGCTTGGGGTGGTGCTGATGGGCTTGGTGTGGGATAAGGGACCTTGGCGCTTTGGCCTTCCTCCTCTTGCAGCAGTCCGGGCAGAGACCTGCATGTTTCCTCTGTCGGTCAGGGAACAAGTATTTATTGGGTTCTGATAAGCATCTTGTTCAAAAGCACTGACAGCAAGCCTCAATGTCCTCGATGAATGAGGGAGACACCCAGAGGCCCACAGATGTCAACAGTGAGGAAGGGCAAAGACAGGTGGCATGGGTGACTGCCCTTAAAGTGTTGGGAGCATATGTCCCTCCCCACTCCTCATTTTCCCCTCAGTATCTTCTCTAGTAGTCATTCCTGAGTTTAATAACCATTAATCCAGTGGCTGTGAAGGCCCATGAGCAGGAGACCCAGGTTTCTTGGGAAAGTCAGACACAGAAGCTTGAAGACCACCAACGGCAACATAGACCCTGGGTGGCCCATTTGCTGAAGGTGCTTACCAGAATTCTTGTTGAAGGACCATAATGAGTTTGGTCCATTTCAATGTACAGAACTGCCCATCCTTTGTGGTTCTCCTGAGGCTGTTCTTGTATGTCTGTCAAAGGGCATGCTATTTTTATAAAATACATCTCTTTAATAAACTGTGGCCAGGTCAGTCTTTGTCCCAGTGAAGGCACACTCATCGCATCAAATTGGGAGAAGATGGATTTTCTCTGAGGGGACCTGGGTCCTGCCCTCAATCCTGGACAAATCATGGATTTGTCATCCCAGCTGTAGGGAGGGGCTCAGCCCCTGCAGAGGAGTAGACCTCATGCCCCAGGACCAGGGAGAGGACAGCCTAGATTCCTATCCCACATGTCCAGATGAACCAGCTCCTCACATAGGGTTAAACATTGCCTTTTCTCTGCAGGCATTTCTTGTAAAGTTCACGAGTACCTCCTACCACTGGATTGGCCTCACTGACAGGGGCAAGGAGGGCTTCTGGCGCTGGGTGGATGGGACACCATTCAATGCTTTCCGGAGCAGAGCGTGAGTCCAGCACTGTCTGGTGCTGTCCTAGGCAGAGCCAGGGGCAGGCCTGGCTAGACACTGTTGTGTGTCCTTGTCTCGTGTGTGTATTCCTGCCCAGCATGTGTTACTATTGTGTCTGTTATATGTGTATGATGTGTATGTGCAATGTGTGCATAAAGAGTGGATATATGGTTGTGTATGTGATGTATGTGTGATGTGTGGTATGTATATATGTATAACATGTGTGTATGTATGATGTGTATAATGTGTATGGGGTATGTATAATACACATTGGCATAATTGTGGTCCTTGCGTGGACCCCTCCACAGATGGGCGTCAGAACAAGACAGGTTCTGGGGCTGGAAGGTGGCCTATGAGTGGGTCTTCCTGCCTTTTTGTTGTTGTTGTTATTGTTCTTTGTTTGTTTGGTTGTTGCCTGTCCTGTACTCTTTGAAGGCCCTGCCTTCGCCAGAAGGTGTCTGAATGTGACTTCTGGGGTGGGGGCTTACAGCTTCAGACACCCTTCTTATCCCTTGATCCTCAGTAACTAAAGACAACCTCAACAGAGCCACCCTTAGCACACTCTTGGGCCCAGCTCTGTCCCCCTCCAGGGCCGCCAGGAGATTAGGGACCTGTGTCACTTCAGCTCCTTATGCCATAGTCAGGGGAAGGGACACTTCCTTTGTCTGGCAGAATAAAGCCCTCTTGTTTCCAGGTTTTGGGGTACCAATCAGCCAGACAACTGGCGGCACGTGGACGGGCAGACAGAAGACTGTGTCCACATTGAGCAGAAGTGGAATGACATGCACTGTGACACCCCCTATCACTGGGTCTGTAAGAAGCCCATCAACCAGGATGTGGCCTGAGACAGGCCAGATCTGAGAGGTCACTGCCGCTGCCAGCTCTGGACCCTCCCCACCTGATGCCTTGTGAACCTCTGAACTCAGCTTGTTCTCTGGGACTTTCCATTTGGCTGTTTGTGTTTCCTGCTCTGTCCTTTCATTTAACCCTTCAAACATATTTACCCCACGTGGCCCATCGGGATCAAGGGCTCTTCAGGGCTGGAGGCTTGCTGTGCCTCTGTATCCCCCTCAGCCACCAGCACGGGCCTGTCGGGCCATGAGTCCCCAATAAATACTCACTGAATACACAAAAGTGTACTTGTCTCTGCGATGGCCATCAGTCTCTTTTCTCCCTGGATTGGTTCTCCTTCCTCAATATCCCTTCTGTCCTGAGACAGGTGTATCTTTGTTTAAGGGCTTTATAGGTATGAATGTTTAGTTGGTTCCTTGACAAACAGCAGAGGTTTAACATAAACTACAGGGACATCTTACAGGGGCACGAATTCCCAAAAAGTGGTGGTCATCCCAGGTGTTCCTGCATTTCCTCTGTTGCAGGTGGGGCTGGAGCTCGATTTTTCCAGGCCTTGAAACCACTCCAAAAACTTCTTTCTGTCCTGTGGCTGGCCTCATCTCATTTCCCGACTGTTACTCTTGATGTTGTATCTCTGGCTTCGGCCTCCTCTTGCAGCCACACTCCCATTCTGGGGACTGGGCTCTCTGCCAGCTCAATTTAGAATGAGAATTTCTAGAGCAGCTCTTTGCCCAGCCTCGTGGAGTCCTGTCCTATGCCTGCATGCACAGGGAGCCCAGTGCAGGTTTCTGTGGCTCTTCCTCGATACAACAGCCTCCTTCATGCTCCTCCCCAAATCCCAGCACTCGCAGTCTCCCCCAACTCCCATCTTCCTCTCCCCATACTTAGTGTGACTATGATTCCCCATGTGGGACCTTCCTCCCTGCACTGGGGTCTGGCAAGAGACTCCAGGAAGAGGCCCAGGGAGCTGGTGGGCTCAGCCTGTCTGCTTCCCTAGCTAGGAACTTGGATTGCAGTTGTCCAATGTCTGAAAACAATTGTTCATCAATTGTTTCATGAGTTTTGTCCAGTTTTCCAGTTGCTGACAGCAAAAGGACTGGTCCAGCTACTCAATGGAAATCTATTCTACCTGCTATGATATCATTGGCTGAGCAGGACTTTAATCTGTTCGTATTCATATTTTCCTTTTGGCTTTCCTTTTGGCCTTTTCTTTTATGGCTTCTTAGCTTTTTTTTTTTTTTTAAACATTTCAGCCCTAGGGGGCATTTTATTTATTTATTTTTTAAGATTTTTTTTTTATACTTTATTTATTTTTGAGACAGAGAGAGACAGAGCATGAGTGGGGAAGGTGCAGAGAGAGAGGGAGACACAGAATCCAAAGCAGCCTCCAGTCTCTGAGCTGTCAGCACGAAGCCTGACGCGGGGCTCGAACCCACAAACCGTGAGATCATGACCTGAGCCAAAGTCAGACGCTCAACCGACTGAGCCACCCTGACGCCCCATGGCTTCTTAGCTTTTTATCAATCTTAGAAACTTCTCTATCACAGGCTTGAAATAACATTTTGCTGTATTTCTTTTAAGCACCTTTATTATTATTATTTTTAGACTTACATATGTTGCAGGGTTTGATTTCCTGATAGTTTATTCCTTGGAGGTTTACACTATAGCAATATAGATATATAGGGATGGGTTTATTGTTTTCTTTTATGTGTTTCTATTCTTTGTTTTAGGGTTTTCCTAGCCTGTGCAAAAACAGGTAGGAGCCAATATTAATACGTCCCACTTTTGCGGGATTTACAGAGATTTTCTTTATGGCCTAGTAGCATCTGCTCACCTTTTATAAATATCCCACAGGTATATTTATTAGAATAGTCTTGTGATTTTCATTATTAGGATATTCAATATCCTTATTTATATGTAGTCCATACAACCTGTCAATTTCTCTAGGAGGATTTGTGTTAACTCTCCCATGTAGAACATTATTATGTTTATTATCTTGTCATATTCTTATATTTCTAATAGCTTTTGATTTATGTATTTTGTATTACTTTAATGTCTAAAGATGCATAACCATTAAGTCTACTTGAAGACTTATTTTTTTTAATCAATATTCATGCAATCAAGGACTATTTATTGTGCCTCTACCATGTAGCAAGTGCTAATCTAGGTTTTCAGGATTCAAAAGTGAATGAAATGTAAAATTCCACCCTACCCCCACCCTTGAAGCCAGCATTCTAGGAGGGAGGAGAGGTACTTAGGACATCCCGCCCCTTCTCATAGCCACAGGAAGAATCCTCAGAAGCCTGAAACCTGGTGGTGACATTCTGGAGTAGCAAGCTAGCTGTTGGTTATCTATCTAACCAACCATGGTCTGTGGCCTAAAGCTAATGGAACAGGGACAGGTAAACATGCTCACACTCCAGGGTCAATTCTCTTGCCCGGGCTGGCCCTTTCTTTCCTATAGGGAAGTTTCTGAAAGCTGAAATTTCCCCCCAAGAGTCAGAAAGGCAGAGGACTCAGGTTCTCTACAGACTGAGTGGCGCCATCTGGGGAGACAGAATGAAGTCCTCAGTGTTCCTGGAGGAAGTGGTTAGCTTGTCACCCTGGAGTGACAGCCTGCTCCACCCAGCCTCCACTAAATAGCTGCTACTCTCGGTGACCATGGATAATGTTGGTGACAGATATAGGCTGTAATAGACAGTTGCCACCACATGCGTGCCCACAGCTTTCCCCCCCAGAGCTATGGTTTCCAGTCTTTTAGGGTATGAGGGCCCAACCTGAGAGAGGCTGGAGTCCACACATTATGAGTTAGGGAGACCCCAGCTCTAGCATAGGGAGAAGAAGGCATAGACTCTTTGGCTGTCATGAAATGACCTCCCAGGCTTGGTTTTCTAAGGGAAGGGAACAATTTCTTAGTCAGGAGAGTGAGCATATTCTGGAAGCAGATATCACAGCATTTTGAGGATGATGCAAGTCGTTAATTCAGAAAAATCTCTACCTATGCTTATGGATGGCAACTCTGAGTGTTCTCTACCAGCTAATGCCCCAGCCCTTTATACTCGGGAATTCTTACCCAGATTTGCGCCTGGGTATTTGTCCGACTCCCTTTGTCCAACTCCTTGCCCTACACCATGCCTACTGGGAAGACCCTCTCCCTTTGTGTTGCTCTTGCTTATAAGGGCCAGTTATAAGTGGCTCTGCTCCTATATTCTGCTATCGATTCCTACAGCTCAAAGCCAACCAAGCCCAGGCACCCTTGCCACCAGTAAAAGCCCCAGCACCAGGGAGAGTGATGGAAGAGTAAGAAGGCCTGGGCTCCTCTTGGGAGAGGTGGCTTAGGACAGAAGAGGGTCTGCTAGCTGGGCCTCAGGAAGGATTCTTCCTGCAAGACAAGGCCACACGAAGCAGAGTATCCACAACACAGCGATGCCTCTGTTCCACATGCTCTCGCCAAAGCAGCCTGTAGCTTACTTCCTCTTGAATCTCCTCAAAGCCCTGCTTTTGTTGCAATCTTACCCTTATTAGATATGATAAGCATTTCCCACTCCAGCTGGTCCCAGGACAAAGGGTCCAGGCCATCTTCAAGGTGGCCCCAACAAGCCTTTCATGATGTCTCTGCTATGGGGTCACCAGAACCAAGCCCTGGACCTCAGCGTCTCCTCAACCAGCTCTGACTGCAACTTCTGCACTTTTTCTCAGAACACCCTCTGTCTGGGTCACTTATGTGAATAGCCAAGTTTCTGGACATTCTACCTGGTTCATATATCATAGTTGCTACTTACAATGTGGTAGGAATTATGTGAGGCAGGAGGGATTGGTCATTATAGACTGTTACAGTCTGCGGCCAGACTGCCTGGGTCTGAGCCCAGCTTTTCCCCTGTCTAGCTGGAAAAGTGGGTTACTTGACTTGTGTGTCTCAGTTTCCTCTTCTGTGAAAAAGTTGAGTACCTCTTTCTTGAGGCTGTTGTGTGATTAAGAAAGCGAATCCATAAAATGAGCTTAGAAAAGTTCATGGCACATGGGTCTCATTATACAAGCGTTAGCTGTTACTTTTGTGCCAATGGCCTAATTGACTCCTTGCTACAACTCTGAGGAAGGTTCTACCACAGTCTCCAATTTACAGATGGCAAGATGAGGCCTAGAGT